TTTTTACTAATGATTCTACTACGACGGCGACTACTACTACTACTACTACTACTACTACTACTACTACCACTACCACATTACTACTACTACTACTACTACTACTACTACTACATTACTACTACTACTACTACTACTACTACTACTACTACTGCTATTGCGACAACTACCACCACTACAACTACGCCTACTACTGCTACTACTACTGCTACTACGACTACTATTATTACTATTAAACGACGACGACGACGACTACTACTACCAGTACTACTACTACTACTACTACTACTACTACTACTACTACTACTATGTTTACTACTAGTACTAGTAGCCGCGTGTATGGATTGTTGTTCACACTCGTTCTGTGCAACGATTTGGATGTTGACAGAACTCCGAGAATTCCCGGAACGACGGAACGAAGGAATTCAGATGGAGCCATGGAGCATCTTGCCAGGGGAGCTTTTCGTTGCTAAAGACTACGGGGCCCTGTCGCTTCTACTAGTGCAACCACGGCCGGAAATGCTTCAACCCAAGCCCAAGCAACTGAACCATGCACGACAGGCAGATGAAAAACTTTAGGTTCAAACTTCAAAGAAGAACTGCCCACCTAAACCCTAAACCCTAAAGGCCCTAAACCACAAGCCCTCCGCCGACTTCCCGACACTTCAGGATAAGGGTCGTGCGCCGACGGCTCCCGAGCAGGAGAAACTGGAACAGAGGCACCAAGCTCTTGTGAGTTTAGGGTTTACGGTTAAGTTCAGTGTTGGGATGGGTCGGAGGTTTTAACATCTCGGAACCAAAGATGGAACATACGGCGAGGTGTTTAGGGCTGAGGCCACGAACTAACGCTAGATCGTGCTATCTTCGTGTCTCGCGGCTCCTTGATTCATGGAGGTTTCGCAGTATGTGCCTCAGTGCCATCAACACCCTGGCAGCAGCCAACAAGGCTGGATGCCGCTGCCCTATCTTCGCGGGTTGGCAAACGTGTAGTGTATGATAACTATGCGTGTGCTTATATTATACATATATATAGACACATATATATATATATATATGTATATATATATATATAGAGAGAGAGAGAGCGAGCGAGAGAGAGTGCAGATGTACGTGTGTATGTTTCTCTGTGCAGGCATATATATATATATACACTTCTACTTAGATACATATATATATATATACACATGTATATATATATATACTTATATATTTATATTCTGTTTTAGTATTTACATATATTGACATTGAGTTAAATAGTTCTGTGTATTTACATATGTATTATTGAATATGAACATAATTTCATATATGTGTATATTCACATACTTATGTATTTAATACAGTCGCGTACTTATCATCGTATGTATGTACGATATTATATATATATATACACATATATATATATGTACGTATGTATATATATATGTATATGTATATATATATACACATATATATATATATACTTCTGTGTGACTGTCTGTCTGTCTGTCTGTCTGTCTGTCTGTCTGTCTGTCTGTCTGTATGTATGGATGGATGGATGTATGTATGTATGTATGTGTGTGTATGTCTGTATGTATGTATGTATGTATGTATGCATTTACGTATGTATGCATGCATGCATGCATGCATGCATGCATGCATGCATGCATGCATGCATGCATGTATGTTGTATGTATGTATGTATGTATGTATGTATGTACGTACGTATGTATGTATGTATGTATGTATGTATGTATGTATGTGTGTATGTATGTCTTTCTGCATGTATGCACGCTTGTTTGTATGGTTGTTTGTATGTTTGTTTGTATATATGTTTGTTTGTGTGTATGTGTGTGTAAATACAAACATATTTTAATATGTATTTTAAATGCATGTGTAGATATATATGCGGTATTGTTGATGATATACACACGTCTCTGTGTGTGTATATTTGTGGATACATGTAAACATAGGTGTATATATATATATATATGTTTATATATATGTGTATATATACAAATACATAGAAAGAGACATCGAGAGATTCTGAGTACAGCACGCAGAGTTGCGTGCTACGTTTGGAGCAATGGTGCCAGCACTTGTTTGAGCATGCAGCAGCAGTGTTTCATTTGAGTGCTGCCTCTTCCCTGTAGCAGAGTCAGCTCAAACCATGTGATGTCGTGGACCATCTCAGTGTGACGGCAATCATTTTCTGAATGTAGCATGCAGCTAAGGATGCTAACATTTCACGGCAGAAACTGTACGACGACCCACGATCAGATCGATTTGTCTTTCTCAAGCTATAGATTGCCGAAGTCTTCCGGCCATAGGGCGATGTCCTTGTGCTCCCTTTCCCGCAGAAGTTCCCGCAGAAGCTCTTCCCAGCCTTCTGCCACCGAAAATGCGCCCCGCTCGCGCCTCTTCCTCTTATGGCTCCCTATCCGCAGTGCTGTAAGACGCTACACCAAAGTTCGATTACGTGCTGTGTAGCTGTGCTCAGGCAAACTGCTTCCCGACCGCTGCCTGATGACTCCTTGGCTCTGGTGAGCATTGCGCCCGAGCTTCCCAAAATAGTGCGCAGCATCTCGGACGGAGAGCTACAAGACTCCGAATGGCCACAGCCAACGACCCTGCACCAAAAGCACGAGACCATAGCTAGCAGACCCCAAATACCAGGATTCTCTCCGACTTGTGCCTAAATCTCAGGTAACATTCAAAAGCCAGCGTGCTTCGCTCCTGGCGATCCCTTCGCCAGCACGCACAACGGCGTTCGGATGGTCTCAATAGAGAGGCCGGGGGTGCGGGTCCGGGCAGTGGTCCAACGATTGCTGTTGCTGCTTCTGTTGTTTCATTCATTAAATCATCAGGAAGCTGTCGCCGTTGCCGGTTCGGTTGCTGTTGCTGTTGCTGCAGTTGCCGTTTTCGTTCCAGTTCCCATTGGTGTCGCGGTTGCAGTTGCAGTTGCGGTTCCTGCTGCTGCTGCTGCTGCTGCCGCTGCCGGTCGCTGCCGCTGCCGCTGCTGCTGCTGCCGCCGCGGCTGCTGCTGCTGCTGCTGCTGCTGCTGCTGCCGGTGTTGTTGTTGGTCGTGGTGGTGGTTGTGCTGCTGCTGCCGCCGCCGCTGCTGCTGCTGTTGTTGCTGTTGTTGTTGTTGTTGTTGTGGTTGTTGTTGTGGTTGTGGTTGTTGTTGTGATTGTTGCTGTTGTTGCTGTTGTGATTGTTGTGGTTGTTGTGGTTGCTCTGGTTGTGGTTGTGTTTGTGGTTGTT